AGAAGGCAAATTGATCACATGACCATTTAACAAAATAACAGTAGCTGTTTTCAGTCTAGGGCCTCTGAGTTCCCCCAGCAACAGACTTTTGGCTAGGATTACAGCAGCAGGAATGAAATTCTCTCCTGTGGAGTAAGACTCTAATCCAAGCAGACAGTGATCAGCTACCCCATAGCTGTTAGGCCGTTATTGCAGTAGTGGACATACCTTGCCTGACAGGTCACTGTGTCTGCAGGTCACTATTTCACGGTCCTGGGAGGAACATGAAAGCAAGCCACCAAAGAAGACCTTTCCTGGCCAGTTTGAGACTGGTTTCTCTGTGTCCAGCCATCTCATTTCATTTATGCTCCACGCAGTTTTACTGCCCTTCTAGCTTTGTTTGTATTTTTACTTATTTTAGTGTGTGTATGTATAGCATATATGTGCATATAAATAAATTTTTACAATTTATAATGACCCAATTATAGTATTTTGCAACAACAGGTTGAATGAGGTAAGGCATGTATCTTTTTTGCTGACGTTTGAATTTTGCTGGTTGCAGCCCAATGGTGTACTTACTTTCACATATTCCTTTGTCCTCTGTTAAAATTATTTTGATCTAGATACATGCTCAGGTTCAAGATTTTATTTTATCCTAGGTGAAACTATTTCCTGGGTCAGTAGTGGTATGACCTTCTATCAAGAGATTTAGAATTTCTGGTTTTCTCTTTGTGATATTGGTAGCTGTTGATATCCATTAAATGTGGCAAAATGTTCATATTTTAATTTCATCATTTGTTCTTTATTTATTGGTAGGCAACTTTTGTAAAGAGAAACCCTCTTTCTTATGTGGGTATTCTCAGAAACAGCTAGGATATTATTTTTCTTTTCTTTTTGAGACAGGGTTTTACTATGTGGTCCTGGAATATCTTGAACTCATGACTCTATAGTGTCAGCTTCCTGTGTTCTCTTTCTTTTATATATTTTTATTTAAATTTGTAGCAAGCTTGCTTCACATGTCAATCCCAGCTCCCTCTCTCTCCCCTCCTTCCCTGCCCCCTCAGCCCCTCCCATCCCCATTCCATTCCCAGGGAAATTGAGGCTCTCCAGGGGAATCTCCAGAGTCTGTCATTTCATTCAGGGCAGGGCCCAGGCCCTCCCCCAAGAGTTCAGGCTGAGACAGCATCCCTCATTGTGGGATGGGCACCCAAAGTCCATTTGTGTGCCAAGTATAAATAATGATCTACTACCCAAAGCCCCCTAGGTTGCCTAGGTCTCCTCACTGACACCCACATTCAGGGGGTCTGGATCAGTCCCATGCTGGCCTCTCAGCCATCAGTCTGGGGTCCAAGATCTCCCCCTTGTTCAGGTCAGCTGTTTCTCTGGGATTCACCAGCCCATGCTTGACCCCTTTGCCCATCACTCCTCCCTCTCTGTCACTGGATTCCAGGAGTTCAGTTCAGTGTTTAGCTGTGGGTGTCTGCCTCTGCATCCATCTGTCACTGGATGGAGGTTCTAGGATGGCATATAAGGTAGTCATCAATCTCATTATCAGGGAGGGGCATTTACAGTAGTTTCTTCACTACTAAAGATGGCTCAGAAGACCACTGGAGCTCTAGTATTACAGGACTGCACCCATGTGTCTAGTTCACACTGGGTTATGGGAAGTTGTAGAAACAGTTAATTTTCCCCTCTTGCCAGTTCACCCTCATTGTCTATGTTTAAATAGTTTTTGTAGTTTCATTATTAACTGCAAAATTTAAATGAATTTAATTTGTGAATTTAAACGTGCAGTGTGTTTTAATTAGTTGAACTTATTGTCCTTATCTCTGTTCAAATTCTCCCAAGTTTGACCTATCAATGAGACACATCCTAGCTTAATTAGTATTGTTTTATTTTTTACTTTTAGAGCATGAATTCCTAACCTTTATTATTATTATTGTGTATAACATTATCTGTAATTCTAAAGTCAAAATCAACAAAATAAGAAATATTTTATTCATATCTTCTCTATTTCCTCCCTCTCTGCTGTTTTGAATTTTTCCCATACTATGAACTATACAAACTTTCATTAGTTAACTTTGAGACAAGTTCTCATCATTGCCTGGGACTCACTGCATAGCATGGGCTGAACACAAACATGTGATTCTATATCACTGCTTCTCCTTGAATGCTGGGATTACAGACCTACATCAGCATGCTCAACTAACTGTATACTCCGATGAATAGGCAAAAATGTCTACTCCCATGTAACTACTTCAGTGAAGTCATCCAACAATTTTGTACATTAATTATCCATTACACAAATCCATTATACACCTCCTGGGGCAAAGCTGCCCTCTCTGGAGAACTACTGATCCATTTTCTGTCACCGTGAGCTGTGTTTGTCCCATACTTCTGATATGCCTATGCATTTCTGTTATCCTTACCTTTGTCCAGCACGATGTTTTGATTACCCAGTAATTGCTTTTTATTTTTATAAATACAACTTTCATAAGGCAAACAAACAGCTTTATAAAATCATGAGGGACTCCAGTAAACTACACACATTCATGGTGTGCAGATTGGAAATATTTCGAGAAGAGTTAACACAGCCTACTTGAGATTACTATTCTTAGAAAGGTCAGTGTTCAAGGTTGGATTTCTGAGCATTTCCTTCATCCCCTGCTAAAAATAGCTCGCTGTGACCAAACTGTGCAAAGAGCATGGTTCATGCTGGGTACCTGCCTTCCTGGTAGAGTCTGGAATTTCTGTGAACTCCTGGGTACCCAGTCTCTGAGCTTCCAGGGTAGGTAACATTTCACATGCATTGAGTGCTACTATGTACTGCTGGGGAATTATGTCCTCAATGACTCCACTGGGAAAATTCCTAGCTAGACTCTTGGACATTAGTATGAACCCCATGTTGAGCTGTGTAAGTCCTTCTAGTGAGTCTTGTACTTAGAGGAGACCTTGAGGTAAAATTTACATCAAAAAAATATGTGCATTTATGCATTGCTTCTACTACTCAAGTTCATTGGACAGGTTTTCCACAGTGTCTAATTGTTGTTAATGGCATCTAATTTATTCTGGGCATGATACATGCCTTTGATCCCAACACCTGGAAGGCAGGCAGACTTCTGAGTTAGAGGCCAGCCTGGTCTACAGAGCGAGTTCTAGGACAGCCAGGTCTACCCAGAGAAACCCTGTGTAAAAATCAAAACTAAAAATAAAGAAGCAAATTTTAGGAACTGTTTTCACATCATTCCATTTGTTTCTGTTTTGTTCTTTCTCTTCAATATGCTCATGCACTCATTTGCCTCCTATATTTTCAATAACTAATAACTGTGTTAAAGTCTTTGCTATGTCATTTAGTCATTTCTGTGATTGTATTTTATTGATTTTTGTCTTTACCTGAGAGCCATGATTTTGTTGTTGTTGTTTTTGTTCTGGGAGCTTTGCTATATGTCATATGTATTTTACCCATTGAATACTCTTGTTACAACTCTTCCAAAGTTTAGATTTTCTGATAAGCAATTAGTTACTTTTGGATAACTTTACTTATGGGTGAACTTTCTGGTTTTTAAGCTAACCTAAAATGCCCTTTAGAATGCTCTGCTTTCACTTTTAAGTTGTGGTGTTTGGGGGTCTCTTTCAAATGTTCCATGTATTCTGTAAGGGCTCTACCCTGGCTAAGGGAGGATGGGGTGGAGCATTAGTCATCCCTGGATCTATGTTAGTTGTGGGATTTGTTCATTTTAGGCCTCCCTGATACATTATGCCCAGAAGTGGCTCTTGTCTGAATTGAAGCGTTTTATCCTACAACATGTGCTGAGTAGCTTTTGTCAGAAGACTTAAAGAGTCCTGTACACACATTCTTGACATTCTTCTCTGCTTCCTTCCCTCAGACTCAACTGGCTCAGCCTCCAGGAATTCTAGTATTTCTCTGTTCACCCAAGGACTACTGACCTGCGTTTGTCACATCACTACCTGGGAATTCCCTCTCACCAGAAGGGGCTTCTCTTTCATTCTCCTTTTTCCCCTTGTCCTTCGCTGTTGATAGTGCGATATTTACAATATTTTTAAAAAACAAAAAGTGATGGGGGGATGAATGGAATTCAAATACATGGTGATAAAATATCTTAAAAGAACAATATGCTGTCATATTCTTAAGGAAGTGAAATGCTGCAGCTTTGGTTTCTCACTATTCATTTGAAAACAAAAAGGATCTAGAATTTTCTCAGTGTAAATAACTAGAAAAACCAAGGGTGGGGACTCCATTAATGTAATGTGTGTGTGTGTGTGAGTGTGCACACTCGTGTGCATGCATGAATGTATGTGTACAGCACATGGTTATAAGCATGCATCCCTATATTCATGTGCATGTATAAGTGTACATGCCATATATCGACTCTGAGTGGTCCTCCTCAATCTCTCGCCATCTAATGTTTTGAGACAGGGTCTCTCCTTATTCCTGGTACTCATCAATTTGGCTAGGATAGCCAGCCAATAAACTTCAGGGATCCACCAGTATCTGTCAATCTCCTGGTTCCCAGGGCTGAGAATTCAGGTGTACACTGTGTGCATTGCTTTTTTAAGTTCTGGGGGGTGGAAGAGGGGTCCCCAACTCAGGCTCTGATGCTTGCAGTCACCAACTCTTGAGATATATCTTTATAAGTGGGATTTCTATGTCGAGCATAAATGCATATGTAATTTTGCTAGGTATTAATAATATCTCTTTACAGTTTTTTTTAATGTTATGTAGCCCAGGCTGGCTTCAAACATGATCTTTTTGGCTTAGTCTCTCAAGTTCTGGAATTACAGGCATGTACCAACACACTCATTATCTTCATTATTTTCCATTCCAACAGCAATGAGAATGTCTATTTTCTTAGATGCAGTCTCAAAATGTGTGTTGTAAGCTTCAGGAATTTTGCCAGTACAGTTAGCAAAAGTGGTTATATTAATATAATTTTTAACTTGTACTTATGAATAGAGTGGGATTCTCTCTATAGAGGAAAGAGTCACCTGTATTCCCATGATCATGGATTATATATGGCTTTATGGTTTTTTCTAAATAATTTTTTTAGGGGCAGGATATAGGTAGATGTTTCTGTCTCGAAGCAGCTCCCCGCCTGAAAAAAAAAAAACACACGGAGGCTTGTGTTAATTATAAATGCCCTGTAGTTAGCTTAGGCTTGTTACTAGCTAACTATTACATTTAAAACTAACCCATATTTCTTATCTGCCATGTGGCTCATGGCTTGATACATAATTTCCTACATGCTCTACTTCCTCTGCGTCTATCTGATGGCTCCTCTGACTCTGCCCCCCCCCCCCCAGCATTCTGAGTTTGGCTCTCCTGCCTAACCCTATTCTGTTCAGCTATTGGCCAGTCAGCTTGCTTATTAATCCAATGACATATATTCACATACTGTAAAGGAATATTCCACACTTAAATAATGAGATGTACATACTGCTCTAGCAGAGGGCCAGAATTTAGTCCTGAGTACCTACACCAGGCAGGTCACAACCTTCTGTAACTTCAGCTCCTGGGTTCTGACACCTGCTCTCTGAGGGCATCTGCATTCTTATACACACATCCACAGGCAGACACAAGTGAAATACATCTTTAAAAAGAAGTTTTTATCTTTGTCCTATTTTTAGAAACTCATGGTTGCGATATCTGTTTCAGATAACATTTTGTTTGTCTACTTTACACTACATTTGCCATGGAAAGATTTTGTTATCAAGTTTATAATTTTTTCCTTTTAGATTTTTGAATACCAGTCCTGGAGTTTTTTCCATTCCTATGTTGTAAAATACTTGCCCTTATATGTATTAAGTATTCACTTAGTTCCGTTACTAATAGATAAGGAAGCTTACCAGGTGTATGGTGTGGAGAATGAATTCAGTTCCGTCTTGGTGTTGATCTTGGGTGGCTTGTTTCCTACGTACTCATCGAAACATGGAAGACTCAAGCATTTGTTTAGCAGCCTGGAAATGTGTGCTTACTACTTATAAACTGGAAGTGACCATGTCATTCAGGAGAAAATGCACTTAGTGACTACTTCAAAGGAACTTGAGTGGCAGACGAGTCTCCCAGATTTCCACTGTTGGGGAGTACAGTGAAGTCACAAGAAGGAAAACGTTATTTGGAAACCAGCAATAAAAGGCTGTAACATTTTAAGAATTAGGATTGCTGTAGTCTGAATTTGTCGCCCCGCCCCCGCCCCTACCCCCCCTCCCCAGGTTCCCCTATGCAATAGCACCAACTAAGGCTTTGGGGAGCTTGGCATGCAATTTTCATTTTTCTTCTTTTGTAATTTGACTTGCTAACCTCGAGTTAGGAAATCAAAATCCTTTATCTCTTGCAGCTTGCTCTGACTTTCCTAACACGACTTAACAGCATCCTGGAAGAGTTCTCTGGGAATTTAGACATCTGGTTTTGCTTCCCAAAATAAGTGGGATCTTTTTGATTGCGCTCAAACAATCGACCCATTTCTTTTGTGTGCAGTTCATCTTTTTTTTTTAAAAGGAAATAAATCAACTTCTCTTTTCAACTCTCGATGATAATTTTCCCACGCATCTTCTTTGTTAAACATCTGGCATCTGTGGGGGGAGGGGATTTTAAGATGATAAACAAGAATATGAAGTCATTCAGCAGTGGAGCTAATCAATTACTCATTAACGAAAACAACGTAAGCCACTGGAAATTTTACAACGAAAAGCACCAGCGGCTACCACGATAAATTTAGCCGACCACTTCTAAATTTAGTGCCCCTGTCACTTATAAACCACTTTCCACTTGAGGCCTGGGCTATAGGGCGCTAGTTGGGATCCTCCAGCCTCTTGGCACGCGGGTCACCCCCTGTGCTTCCAGCGCCACACGCGGTCCGAGTGCGAGCAGCCCACAAGTGGACCCGTGCGAGGCGCGGTGGCTAAGCCCAGCGCTGCCACCGCCTGGCGGGATGACCCCGACAGTAAAGGCTAGAGACACTTGTTAGCGCCTTCCCGCAGGGGTGCGCGCCCCGGGCTTTTCAATCCCCTTTGCAGGTTCTCTGAAGTCCCGGAGCAGTGTGCTTGGTCCAGGCAGCCGCTTCCCAGCAGCGCCCTCCCCAGGGGCGGGCCCTGGCTCTCGGTGCTGCAACGAGTGGGCGGCCAGAGGCGGGTGGCCAAGGCGACGAGCGGCTGCAAGGAGCTGCGAGACCGACGCTGGGACTCGGAGGGCGCGGCGATCCGGTGAAAGAGGAGGGGAAGGAAGGAGGAGGCGCCCGAGGAGTCGATGCAGGGGAGCTACCGCGGAGCGAAGAGGCGGGTCCTTTCGGGTGCGGCCACCGCGGTTCCGGGACGCAGCCGGGGGCAGCCCGCCCACCGCGCGTAAGGTGTTCTCCAGGTAGCGCGGCACCCAGAGGGCGCCCTTGCCCGGCCCGCGCACCGCCGGCGACGACGCGCCGCTCCCCCAGCGCGGCGCCCTTGAGCCGCAGCGGCCGCGCAGGTTGGCCGCCGACTGGTCCGCCCGCCAAGAGGAGGAAGCTCGGTCCTTTCCCGCTCGCCGCGGCTGGCGTCCCCACCCCGTGGACTCTCCACCCTGCAGCGGGCAAGCGGCGTGGCCACGGAGGCGCCGAGGAGGGGCGAGCCGCCTCCGGGCAGCGGCGTGGCCCCGGGGGACAGAGCGCCCGAGCGGAGGCGGCGGCGCGGCGGCGAAGGCGCGGCGCGCGATGGCAGCTGCCTAGCACGGCGTGCGCGCAGCAGCCCGGAGCTGTGGCTGGCCAGACGGTGCGTCTGGGCTGGGGACCCCGGCGTCGCTGCCGCGGCGGCCCGTCAGGCAGAGATGGGCACCGAAGCCGGCGAGGGCATCACTTTCTCCGTGCCGCCCTTTGCTTCCGCGGGCTTCTGCACCATCCCGGAGGGCGGCAGCTGCCGGAGGGGAGGAGGAGCAGCGACGGCGGCGGCGGAGGGTGAGCCCGGCCAGCTGCCACTGCCTCCGCCGCCACCACCGCCGGGCAGTTTCTGGAACGTGGAGAGTGCGGCCGCTCCTGGCACCGGTTGCCCTGCGGCCACCCCCGGGAGCAGCGCCACCCGAGGCCGGGGCAACTCTGGCAGCGGGGGCGGCCGGAGGACCACCGTGGCATATGTGATCAACGAGGCGAGCCAGGGGCAGCTGGTGGTGGCCGAGAGCGAGGCCCTGCAGAGCCTGCGGGAGGCGTGCGAGGCGGTGGGCGCCACCCTGGAGACCCTGCATTTCGGGAAACTGGACTTCGGGGAAACCGCCGTGCTGGACCGTTTCTACAACGCAGGTGAGTGGCAGCTTCCTCGCCGTGGCCGCCGCCGTGCTTCCCCTGGCCGTCATCGTGGAGAATGTTTTGTTTTGATTTTTTTTTTCCCGTGGGCGGGAAGCAAGCTTCCTATTTACATCACGCTCCTTGGGAGCAAGCAGAGATGTTGCAGGACCATCCTGGCGCCCGCCGCCCCTAACAGAGTGTGTGTGCTGGTGCAAGAGCCTGTATTTGTGCGGGAGATTTCGCTGATTTATGTGGCGGAGCCCTTGGGTCCAAGTCCAAGCCTTGAGGAACACTTTTTTTCATTGTTTCGATCAGTTCTCTTCAGTCAATGTATCCTTAGTTCGGGTTTCCTTTTACACACACCTGTGGCCCTCCAAGGTGATGTTCTGTTCTCATTGCAGTCATGGAAGTACGGAACGCCGCGTGCAGAGCCTATGTGTGTGAGTTTTCAAAGCATGGCCTGACCTTGCCCTACTCATTTCACCTTCAAGTTTTGGTGGCTTGAGTGGTCAAATCATTACGTCCTAGAGTAAAACAAAACAAAACAAAAAAACAAACTACTGTGGACTACACCAAATGTATGTATCTTTGTTAGAATCTTGCCCAAAGAACCAGTTTAAAAAATAAACTACCCCAGATACTGTGGTGGGTTTTTTGGAAGGGTTTATTATTTAACATCGTTTAAAGGGTTCCTGGGCTATTTAAATGACGGATTCCGTTGGCCATTAAAGTGATTACTAGCATACTCTACGGGAAGGGGATGCCTCCCTTTTTAGTCTATTTCAGATTTCAGAGTGTTTTCGTGACTGAAGCAACTAGCTGTCTGTCAGCAAGTGTCAGGGATGGCAACGTGCTACTGAAATCCAGTGAAATCAAGTAAATAGACGTGCTAATTTTTATAATCGTGGTGGTGGGAAACCTGTCTGTCTGTCTTCAAAATCAGTAAGCTCCTTACATTTGTGATGGCAGGTTTTATATTTCAATCTAATTCTCTTACAGCCTCCCTTCCAAGCACCTGAAGGAGGCTTATGTCTGCTTTGGAATTCAGCCAAAACTGAATATTTTAAGAACAAGAAGAACTTCATGTTAAGGAAAGCCAGACTAAATAAACTGGGACTTTCTGGTTTGGGTATTTTTTAAACAGTCTGTGTCTTCATAACTGAGCATGAATATAATATATTATAGCTTGGCTCTTGGGGTGGCTAGCTATAAAAATTACATAAACATAACTTTTCTAAAAATTATAGCGCTCTTATTTTTGGATTATAATTTGGAAGAAGCTTCAAAGAACCAAATGATATGAGAGGAAAAAGGCCAAATAAAAATTTGAGCTTATTTTTATTGCAATGATAGAGTGGGCATATTTTTCCTAGGAGTCTGGAAAAAAAAATCTTCAACCCTCAGCTAATATGAAGGAAACTTTGCTAACAAGGCTCTCCTCTGTTAGTCTCCAAATACCATCACTGCGGAAAGGAGGAAGGTTAGAAGTGTGCAGACATTGAACTCTATCTCACTTAGTCCTGTGCCCCGGCCTGGGAAAAGAGCATTCCTTCCTTACTAGGTAGGTTAACTAATCAATCCATCACTAGGCCCAGGACTCGTAGGCAGCTACTGGTCAGTGCACAGTGCTGGCCATAAAGTTCGCAGGGACCTCTCTGGCTGCCTTTATGTAGGGCACATTTACTATTAGGATCAAAGGCAGTGCTCTGTTTGGGGATCCTGGGATCAGGAGTTGGCAGAGGTTTTCAGAGACATTAGGTGCAGTGAGGAACAGCGGGAATGAATGCATGTGCTCTGGGGACTCCCTTCCTGATGACCAGCCATGAAACCCACTTTCAACTTAGCCAGGCCTGTCTAGTCTCTAGTCTCTGCCCAGCTAGAAGATATCTTTGTCTGCTCTTGTTTTGTTTTTCGAGAGAGGGTTTCTCTATCTGGCCCTGGCTCTAGAACTGGCTCTGTAGACCAGGCTGGCCTTGAACTTAGAGATCATCCTGCCTCTGCCTCCCTAGTTGCTGGGATTAAAAGCGTGCGCCACTGCCACCTGGTGGCTAGAAGGTATTTTATTCAGCACGAAGCTGTGATGGAATGAGTAAGGATAGTGCCAGTTTTGTCCCAGCCCGTTGTCTTTCTAACCTGAAGACTATGGGCTTTGATAGTAGTCAAAACTTAGGTTTTCAACCCTGATGTCTAAGAGAGTCGTCACTCCCCTTCTGTGTGCTCTGGCCAACTGTTTGTTGCTGTTGTTGTGTTTTCTGTCAGAGGCCAGATAATAAATACTTGAGACTGCAGTCTTTCAAGTTTCTCTCACAGGTATGCAACTTTGCCATAAACGGTCTGTAAAGAAATGATTGTGCCATTGAGGTCAGCCTGAGCTATACAGTGGTGAAAAGGTCAACCTGAGCCACACAATTTCAAAAACCAAAACCAAACGATACAAGCAAAGACGGTGGGTGATAAAACCGTACTAATGGACAGCTTTCGCTTGCATAAGCATAGACACTGCAGGTCTCGGGTTAGGGTCGTTCTCTATCCCGTCACCTTCACCTGTAGATTGGATCCTTATGATTCTGTGGGAAGGGCATGGCCCCTCCAGGTGGGCTGAGTGTTTATCCAGTTCTGGGTTGGATTGTATGCTTGTGAGAGAGGCTTTTTGTGCCTTCCAGTAGGGTTTCTTTATTTGCAAAGTCCACCAGGGCAGAAGGGAGAGAATTGAATCGGGTATCTAAGATTCAATTCTCCTAAATTCTGTGTATCTGTGAAAGCCAGAAAGTATGCGTATTGGAAAAGGGGCTTTGGGGTCTGGATTCTGGTCCTGTTTCTTCTGTAATTTTAAGTGAGTCATTTAAACTTCTAGGAGAGTAGATGGTTGCAATGACCTATAATGTTCTTTAAATTTTCAATATTATTACTGCCTGGGACTCAGTGTGCTTCATAGAGATTTGTAACTGTTCATTTATGGCCTGTCCTTGGTCCTAAGGAGATCAGAGACAGTGGAAGGGTGGAGCCTATGACTGGGCTGTTACAGAGTCACAGAACCTGTGTGAGGGTCACTCAGAAGCTATGGATTCCCAGCGCTCAGAGATAAGGTAGGCTGGTCCAAGGGTACCTTTTTCATTTCCTTTTGGTTTGAGACAGGGCTTCTCTGTGTAGATCTTGCTGTCCTGGATCTCCCATTGTAGAACAGGCTGGCCTCGAACTCAGAGATCCTCCTGCCTCTGCCTCCTGAGTGCTGGGATTAGATGTGGCACCTGAAGTCAGGAGGGAGCATAAGCAAGGATGGCCCAACCTGGGTCTTGCTTTATTGCTGTGATTTCTTCTCCAATGCTGGGAATCCCGCCTTGTGCGTGATGGACAGGAGCTCTGTCACTGAGCTGCAGAAGCCCAGAGCCTGGGGTCGTAGCATTTGGAAGGAGCAATGGAGCCTAAGCAGTAGTTCAGCTTAGTAAAATTAATAATGGAATAAAGAGAGCTGGTATTGTTAGAGCGCCCCCTGTTTTGTGTACTGATGTCCGTCTAAGAAATACATTGTAGTTAGGCTTTCACCGGATCTAGGTTTTATTATTATTTATTCTGGTTTGTTTCTGGACTTTGTTTGTCATTCTCCTACTCTGTATAGCTGATTCATGCTCAGTTAGTGCAGTTGTGAAAACCATTCATGCGTCTTAAAGATAGTTATGGCATCATATATGACCGTCTCGCTTAGAGATGGCGGATACCAAGGCAAACCACACCTGCTCCAAGCCCTTTGTAGAGTAGGCAGTAAAATTCTGCAAAGGCTACAGGTGTCAGTGATACAAGGCGCTGCCTTTGTGGACAGACCGTAAGTGCTCAGATTTTGAACTCACCATATGCAATGGAGGATGACCTTGAACTTCCCAATCTTCTAGCTCATGTCTCTTGAGTGCTGGGTTTACAGTCACCTATTTATGCAACACAGGGGATCGAACCCAGGACTTTGTGCAAACTAGGCAAGCACTCTATCAACTGAGCAACATTCCCAGCTCTTAAAAATACGTCATGGCCACTAGTTCTGTGTGTGTTGCTGAAATGGCCTTCACCGTCTCCCTATTTTGCTTATGAAAATACAGAACTATAAGAAGTTCTACATGTTCATTCAGGTTAAATGATTTAAGATTGCTTCAC